ATTTTTATGCTAAAAAGCATTTATAGTTTTCTATTTTATAACTTACCAACCACTGACTTTAAAATTCAGATATATGCTAAATAACATGATCACAATAAAGCCCACATCTTCAGTGTCACTGTTGGCTCAAGCCTGTAATCCTACCTTGTCAGGAGGCTGAGATGTAAGAATTTCAATTTGAGGCCAGGCTGGGCAGATAATCCTATAAGATTATTATTATTTTTTTAGTCTTTTTAAAGATTTTTTTTTTTTGTGAAAAATGCCATAGAGGGCTTACAATTACATGGCCAATGTAATGAGTACATTTCTTATCAAGCATTGTTGCCTCCTCCTTTGTTTCCCCTTCCCATCCCTTCCCATCCCTTCCCATCTTCCCCACCCCCCTCCATGAGATTCTTTTTTTTTTTTGGTGGTCCTGGGCTTGAACTCTGGGCCTGAGCGCTGTCCCTCAGCTCTTTAGCTCAAGGCGAGCGCTCTACTCCTTGATCTACAGCATCACTTCCGGTTTTCTAGTGGTTTATTGGAGATAAGAGTTTCATGGACTTTCCTGCCCGGGCTGGCTTTGAACCGCGATCCTCAGATTTCAGCCTCCCGAGTAGCTAGGATTACAGACCTGATCCACCAACGCCCCCCCCCCCCCCCCCCCCCCCCGTCCATGAGATTCTTATCTCCAATTAACTAACAAAAACCAGAAGTGGATCTGTGAATCTAGTAGAATGCCAGCATTAAACAAAGCTCTGGGGCAGTGCTCAGGCATCAGTTCAATCTCCAGGAGGACTGGCACCCAAAACAAAAAGCAACAACAAAAACCCCAAACCAAAAAACTAGATAGCAAGCTGGGCTTCGGTAGCTTGGTGGCTCATGCCTGTACTAGCTAGTCAGAAGGCTGAGATCAGAGAATCGCCGTTCGAAGCCAGTGAAACTCTTATCTCCAATTAATCAGAAAACCGACAGTGGTGCTAGCTTACGTGGTGGAGCACTAGCCTTGAGCTGAAGAGCTCAGGGACAGCGACCAGGTCCTAGTTCAAGCCCCACCAAGGATCCAATAAAACCCCTAACCCCTCCACTCCCAACACACACTCACACAAACCCCTAAATAGTAGATAATCTTATTTAAAACCCCAGAAGACCACAATATACCTTGTACACAAAATAAGTTGCTTTTCCCCCCCTCAGTGTCTGAGCTTCTTGAGCTACAAGTCCCATCTCTAGCCTTCTTAGTAGTTTTTAATAGCGATATAAGGGAGTTAAGTCTTAGGGACTTTGCTAAGCTGGTTGGCTTTGAACCTCAGTCCTCAGCCTCCTGAGTAACTAGGATTACAGGCATCCAGCTTAAGCACCTTCAGGTTTTAGTTGCCTTTGCCCTGTTAAGGAAGATTAACAATGTGTTTTCTTTGGTCAGTGAGAAGCCTCGCCAGCTTACTATTCCCTTACTTTGGACTTGCCAGTTTCGGGTGGACTAGCTTTACTCAACACCTTATACACATTCACTGAGTAACTCCCTTGTGGCTGTGATCTTGGTTCATTCTATGCCTTGGAATTGAGTTGGCAGCTTTAGACACAGTTGATTCAAAAGATCTGGGAACAGTAGCAAGGACAAGACGGTATACAAACTCGTAGAATAAAATCATTTCGGGGTTGGGGTAGTTATTCTATACAGGACACTTCACTTAACTCTGTCCAACTAAATTGGCTATTCCAAAACTACAACGCTATTGGTTTAAGTGTGTGGTGACAGCCAATGGCATGGCTCCATTTTCGCGCCATTTTAACCGGTAGTCTAATCTTGCATATTGTTAAGCGGACAGGACTATTTCGTCACGTCCAGGCGTGGCAAGGAGGGAGGCAGGGCAAAGACCCAGTGTGCCCTAGGGTTGGGTCCAATGCCTGCTCTGCAAAGACACTTCCTCAGAGCCGGCTCCGCCTAAGAAAACCAAGTCCCTGAGGCCATAAGCAATAAAGGCCTTGTGCAACTGCCAATCTTAGGTGAGAGGCTTTTTGGACTGAACCACAACTTTCGCAGACAGGCACTGTGTTGTCACCCACTGCAGCTTTACCCCACCCTAAGAGTTAAGGCTTAGATTACCCTTGCTAGGCTGTACCAAGGAGCCAATCAGGATGCAGCGCGGGGATCCTGAAGTCTGAAACTTACTAGATGCATAAAGGGACTCGTAAACAGGCAGTAAACTTCGCTAGGACCCACAAAATTGCAATCAGTGCACAGCTATTTTCGGAGATTATCTGGGTGGCTCTGAAAAGAGCCTTTGGGGCTTTGTAGCTGGGTCTTATATGCCACAGGCCGACTTCTTACTTCTTCTTGGGAGCCGCCTTCTTGGCCTTAGCAGCCTTGGGCTTTGCCGTCTTAGGCTTCGCAGCTTTGGGCTTGGCAGCCTTCGGCTTCACCGCCTTAGGTTTGGCGGGGCTCTTAGCTGCCTTCTTCGGCTTGGCAGCAGCTTTAGCCTTCTTCGGACTCTTAGCTACTTTTTTTACACCAGCCGCCGCAGGCTTCTTCGCTTTCTTAGGAGTTTTCTTAACTGTCTTCTTGGCTCCAGCAGCCTTCTTGGGCTTCTTCGGCGTGGCACCCGCTGCCTTCTTAGGCTTAGCCGCGCCCGCCTTCTTGGCCTTTGGCTTGGCCTCCCCGGAGGTGGCCTTCTTGTTGAGCTTGAAGGAGCCGGAGGCGCCGGTGCCCTTGGTCTGCACCAGGGTGCCTTTGCTCACCAGGCTCTTCAGACCCAGCTTGATGCGGCTGTTGTTCTTCTCCACGTCGTAGCCACCAGCGGCTAAGGCTTTCTTGAGCGCGGCCAGAGAGAGGCCATTGCGCTCCTTGGAAGCAGCCACAGCCTTTGTGATCAGCTCGGAGACCGGTGGTCCGGTCGCCTTGCGCTTGGCTGCTCCAGCGCCAGCTTTCTTCGCTGCCTTCTTTTTGGCCGGGGACTTTTCCACCGGCGCCGGGGCAGCAGTCTCAGCGGGCGCGGTTTCCGACATGGCAACGTGAGAACTTGCTAGGAGAAGTCACTCAAGAACTAGAGAGCAAGTTTTGAAATGCTGGTCTGCTCCGGCCCACCGCTTATATAAGGCGGCGCTGGCTTGTGATTGGTGGAGCGTCCAATCCACCGCCCTTGAATCGAGGTTGCTTTTGGTTGGACTCCAAATTGTGTTTGTTAGTCTCCAAAATTTGATTAAATGCTGCAAATAACCGCACAGAATTTTGTGCTTTGAAACTGCGAAGAAGGAGAACAGCTTCCAGGTCCACATACTTGTTTGTGTTTTCACGAATCACACACAATTGATGAAAAATATGTTTTAAAATACCTTTGGCTTTTCCTGAGAACCCACCATGTTTAGGACCTAGTGCTAATTAGCTGCTTATTGCGGTAAATTTATGTTAAATATCCTGTGAGCACTATTTAAAAGCATTTGTCCATTAGTTCAGCCCTTGATTTATTCAACTATATAGAAAGCATATTTCTCTGTTTGGGCATAAATATTGTTTATAACAGTAGTAACTAACACAGGCACAAGGTTGCCTCTAGTCTGAAATTAAAAACACAGACTTTACAAACCAGTTCTGCCTCTTAGCTGTTTCCATGTCCTGCTGCTCTCTTGATTAGAGAATGACATTCTCTAGTTTGGAAAGTTGTTAAGAGTGATTTATTCCACATGGCAGGAGGATTAGAAATGACACTGACTTCCATAAAGCAATCCTCTGAAATGAAGTACAGACAAGTTTGATAGGTTTTGTGACAAATAATTTCATTAGTGCCTGGGCAGCTTCATTAAAAGAGGGCAGAAAAACATTGTAGACGATTTGCTTTAGAAAACAATTCTGAAATCTGCAGGAAGTAGTCAAGAACTACCTGCAGACCCAGACAAAATTTTTGAGGTTTTCCAAAGGGTTTCCTTTCCCGGTGCTCATCGGGACACCTCCATTAAGATTTAATAAGTGTCATGGCCGGAAATATTCTTCTATAAGCAGCAATGATATACCAATAAGTGGTTCGGTGTTTACATGCAAATATATTAGCATAGCTGAATATTAGCTGTGTAAATGTGTTAAGAATAATGGCATTGAAAGTAATAAAAGCTCAATGAATTTGAGAAAACAAAACTACATCAGGGAGGGATGTAAGGTTTGCTATTTTGGCCAAAAGAGAAAATGTTTCTTATTTTTGTACAGCATGACAAAAGAGACTGGCAGATTAGTTCAAATTTATAATAAAATCAAGTCACAAAAATGTTCTCTATCAGCTTTTTTCTTGACAATGAAATGCACCTAGATTTTTCCGGTGAAAATCTGTCGGGAAGTTTAAAGCAGTCAACATGTTTCTAGGAATCCCTGGAGAAGTTAGTAAAATTGACAGTAGTTTATGTTCATTACCGGAGCTGAGGACTGGGTTTTACATATTTTTAAAAAGAAAACGTGAAAAAATGCACTTTGCAAAACTTAATATTGCTACTGGGATAGTTACCATGATTTTAACACATTCAAGCTTCTCAAGACCAAGCTAATTGTAAGCTATGGCATCCCAACATAGTATAACCAAAATGCCAGAGCTTCCAAAAATAAGGGGAGGAAGCCATGGGTTTGATCCCTCAGCACCACATAAGCCAAAAGTCAGAAGTGGTGCTGTGGGTCAAGTGGTAGAGGGCTTAGCCTTGAGCTAAGGAACAGGGCAAAGGACAAGTTCAGATCCCACGACCGACAGAAAAAAATAAACATCAGGGATTGAATCCCTAACTGCGGCTACACACCCAGTTGTACAAGTCGTGCAGTGTTTACATTATGTATTGACGGTGAACTGAGACTATTGGATGACACGAAAGTTGTCTTGGCAACGTGCCATTCCGAACGGATCTGAAGCTCACAGCTAAAACCTAGCGAAGAAGCTACTTGAAGGGAAAGCAATTTACCAGGCGTGTAGTGTAAACAGCTACGTTTTAGTGATAAATGAGGGGCTCTGAAAAGAGCCTTTTGAGTTAGCAGAGGAATTAATAACCTCTTAAGCTCTCTCTCCACGGATGCGACGCGCAAGCTGGATGTCTTTAGGCATGATGGTCACCCGCTTGGCATGGATAGCGCACAGATTAGTGTCCTCAAAGAGACCCACCAGGTAGGACTCGCAAGCCTCCTGCAGTGCCATCACAGCCGAACTCTGGAAGCGCAGGTCGGTCTTGAAGTCCTGCGCGATCTCGCGCACCAGCCGCTGGAAGGGCAGTTTGCGGATCAGCAGCTCCGTCGATTTCTGGTAACGCCGGATCTCACGCAGCGCCACGGTACCAGGTCGGTAGCGGTGGGGCTTTTTCACACCGCCAGTGGCAGGCGCGCTCTTACGAGCGGCTTTAGTTGCGAGCTGCTTGCGGGGCGCCTTGCCACCAGTAGACTTACGAGCGGTCTGCTTGGTACGAGCCATGGAGATTACCAAAGTTGCAGGACTCAAGAGAAGTGAGTGAAGAACCTTTGAAAAATCTCCCTATTTATAGTCTGCCTCGCGTTCGGATTGGCCAGAATACTAAGTACGTCAGTACCAAATGAACCAATCACGTCCATCCACAGAATTGGTTTTGCTGTTACACTCTGGAGTGGTTAAGAAGCGTTTCTCTCATGGTTGATCTTTAAGAAGTTCTAAGTTCTTTCTAAGCAAGAGTTTTAGATGTTCCCTGCGCCTAAATTCCAAGAGAATGTAGACTTAAGACTCATTATATCATTGTTGGGATAGGTGTTAATAAAAATACTTAACGAGAAACTGCAATTGCTAGAAAACAATTCCAGTGTAAACAGTAGACAATGTCAGACTGTTCAAATTTGATCACCTTAAACAACCAGTTCAACTTATGTTTGGCGAACACTTTCTGTAAGGGCTTCTGAGTTATCTTAGGAGTTGTGTGCCTTACTGGTATTTATTCACTCCTTAACCTTTTTGGCGCGAAACTGATAGGTGAGCCCGATTGCTGAATTTACAAGTCGGGAGACTTGGCTCCCTTTTGAGTATTAAGCTACAGTAATGCTGAAAGGAACATATAACTATGACATGAGTTGGCGAACACGTGCACTAACCTGAAATTAAAATAAATAAATAAATAGAAGGTCTACAGCCTGTAGCGGATTTCCTGTGTGATCTTTTGCGCCTTTGAGCCATAACGCTAAAAGGTAGTTTAGGACAACACTAGCCCGCAGAACCATAAAGGGTGCAGCCCTTGGACTTGAGCATGTAGACCACATTTGTGGCTGAAACAGTCTGGCACTGGCTTGCTTAGTTGAAGTGACATGAATCACGTACTCCGGGAGCTTCCCACAGGTGTTCCCGATGAGGTTAGAGGTACGCTAGAGATCACAACAGCGAGGAAGAAGCAGGAAGGCGGGCAAGGCGCGGGCTGGCCGGCTAGGCATCGCCTTTTCCTAGACGTTATGCAAGGTCTTACAAAGCCAGAGGACAAAGAAAGACAAAGACAGCGTCTCGGACCTGATTGAGAACCGTTCGCGGCTGCAGTATTAGCGTAATTTTCACTGTCCACGTTTTCAGATGAGAAAAAAAGGAGAGACTTGCCCAAGCTAGATTCCAACGCGTGTATTTACCCAGATATCCTTTAAATCAATCCTTTCACTTTCTAATATTCTCTACCTACCCTTGGAAGGTCTTTGTTTTTTCCTGTAATCTGTTTTTCCAGCCTCTTCTTGACTCTCACTGGTCCGTGGTGGTTGTTAGAATCCTGCCCTAAGTGAAATGTGGGATGCATTAATGTCTATGGAAAGTACGCACTCTGGTTTTAAATAGCCTGAGAAGTTCTGCAGTGAACCCAGCATTGTATTATAGCTTCAGAGTTTTCTGGTCTTTCTTAAAAATGGCTTAGTACATTGTTTCTTTCACCTCTTTCCCCTTTTCTTCTTTCATTTTACACTTTTCTCTGGAGAAATGACTTTAACATTCATTCTGAGAAGTTATTGAGGAATGGTAGCTTTTACTCTGCATTTTTTGGGAAAGGAGACATGAAAATACTGCTCAAAGATCCCCATTGTACCCCTACTTTCTTATAGAAGTAAAGAGAGGACATCTAGAAATTCCCTCGAATTTACAACTAAAATATACAGTGCAGAGCCCAGCCATGAGTATTGCAGGAAAAAAGAAATGTTTTAAGGCCTAGTGCTGGGTTTCCAGGTTTGCCTTCCTTGTGTTGTCTTCTTCCAGGTATCTGATTCTGCCTTTGAATGTAACCTTGACAGTTTTCTTTTGCCCAGGCCCTTCCTTCTCTTGTCCCAAATTTAGCTATGTTACCTCTTATATGTCAGCATGCTTATTTACTCCCAGAAAAACTTTGAAATTTTATGTAATACAAGTAAGTACATGAAAGCTAATGTTCCACTAATGAGTCCATTTTTCATTGTCTTTCTATCTCTACCTTATCTTAAATTAATCTCAGCACTTCTCTTCCCTTGCAAGTAGTAAAAACCCAAGCAGCAATTTGCCTCATTAAACACCAAGTTTTTTGTTGTTGTTGTTTGGGTGGCTTTGTTGGTCTTTTTTGTTGTTGTTGTTTTGTTTTGGCACAGCAAAGGGGGGAAGATATCCCTATGTAGTTCAGTTTGGCCTTGGATAAGCTATGCATCCTAGACTGATATCTCCCTGCCTCTGTCTCTCAAATGTTGGGATTATAAGTATGTATCAGAATGCACTGCTCAAATAGCAACCTGTCTTGAATGTGTTATTTAAATCGAAAAACCACAAGTTGAAATCTTTAAAAAGAAACTTTAGAGATATTAACGGGAAAGGTGTATAAAATATACATTTAGGAACCTTTGCAGAAAAGGAATGAAAGTCAAAAGCAAAAGTAGACCAGTTCTCTTCCAAACTACTTTAAAAGGGGTAGGGTAAATTGTGGGAAAGTAAATACTTTGGGTAAACTAATGGAAAGTTTGGCTTATCTAGTAACCTTTTATTATGCAGATTCTATGCATTACAGGTAATAACAGACCTCTCCAGGAGTAAAAGAATCCTCTTCAGGAATAATTCTATTCTGGTGGGTCAGAGGAAGAGTAGGCCTTATACTGTTTGTCCAGTCACATTCTACACAACCGTCCATTCTTCATCAAATTTAAAAATAAAAACAGCTAGTTCTGTCAGTTTAGTGACCAACCCCCCCTCCCCCCACGTAAGTCTGGGGGAGAATGAAGCAGGCTTGTGTATTTATGGCTCTCCCTGGTCAACACAGTGAGACCCTGCCTCGAAATAGGTAACTGAGGGAGAGAAAAAAAAGGCAGTTTACTGTATGATACTCAATTCTGAACATACCAATATCACTTAAAATATGAAAAAATATTTTACAGCGCTGATAATATAGCCCAGTGTTAATATGCTTTTGTAGTATGTTGAAGGCTCTGGGTTTGATTCATAGCACCACAGCCACAAATAAGTAAACAAACCAATTCCACTATGGTTTACTATTGATAATTTTTTGTTGTAAGAATGTGAGCCATGTCCCTTATGATAAATGATAAAAGGGCCCACATCTTTCCATTTTTACAATATTGTCACAATTTCTGTAAAATCATGGATGACTTTTTTCTTGGCTGATCATGGGGCTTGAAATGGGGGGCTCAGGACCATCCCTGAGCTCTTTTGCTCAAGGCTAGTGTTCTACCACAGTTCAACTTCTGGTGGTTAATTGGAGATAAAGAGTCTCACTGACTTTCTTTCCCAGCTTGGCTTTGAACATGGGATCCTTATATCTTAAATTGTTTGTTAAATCAACTCTCTTAAATATTCTCCCAGGTACGAGAAATAAGCTAAACATTTCTCAAAAGAATTGAAAGGAATTGTAAATTGAGTCATAAGAATATCAGATTAAGGGCAGAAAGTGAATTCAACGGACCAACAGGCTTTTATTCTGGGGGCAAAAACCTGAAAGGGACACCAGAGTCTTACAGGCAGACAGGAGAGACAATGGTGGGCTTTCTCACAACTGAAGTCTCCTTTTATTAGGCAGAGTAAAGGTAGGCAGAACAGGGGTCTGTGTGTTTATCATAAGAAGGGGGGCAGGATGGGAGCAGAGTAAGGGACTCTTTGTACATAGATTGAATCTTATCCTGAGACAGGAAAGCATAGGTATTTAGCAGACAAGTCAACAAATGGTATGGCCCTGGGTTCACTGGTTATCTTTCATAGTCACAGGGTATAACTGGGCAGGGAAAGGGGAGATGTTTTTGGGAGGTTTCCAGCCAGGGCAGTCCTAGGTGGTTGTAGAGGGAATGCTGAGTTTTTAGTTTAAGTCACTTCCATCAACACTGAAATTCCCTTCTGTGTAATGCAAACCTATTTTTTTTAAGTCTAATTTGAGAATCTGGTCTATTTAAATTAGGTACTTTAAAAAAGCTTTTGTTCTCCTCAGCAAATAAATTTTAACTAGGCTACACGGTTGTGTTTTTCTCACATCAGGGAAAATTTGCTTCTTCAAAAAAGTATTGTAAATGATTTAGGTTCTCTTTTTAAATTTATTGAGATTAAATGATTACATAAATTCCACTGTATTGTGGGATAATGATACTTAGCTAAAGTCACACATTTTTACCTTCACAAAGTGAAATGTCATTATCATGGTCTATAAAGCTGGTCAATTCTACACACTTTGACAACTACTTCCCAATCGGGTGATAGTCATTAATTTCCTTTTGCTTAGTCTAAGCTGTTCCCTTTCTCTCTCATTCCCTCCCACCCAACGCTGCCCTTGAGTTGCTTAGTTCACTTTCCTCAATGTCCAATGCAGCTGATGGACTGCTCTGCATTTTTTTCCTTTCCCTGATTCTCTTAAGTGAATGCATTTGCTGTTAACTATTGAGGCTTGTTGGATAATCCACTTGTGTTTTGCTGACTTCTTTTTGCTATTAATCCAAAACTGGGTTCAATGCTTTTCATTATTAACTTTTCAATTTGATATGCCATCTATTAATCTCGATGGCACTGGGCTTTGAAGGTTTCTAACTTGTACACCACGTGGGGAGAAGTTAAATTTTTAGCCTAGAAAGCTAGTCTCCTGGACGTAAAACTTAATACATGTATCTAACCAGTGAAATTCACATGATGTCCGGCATGGGATGTTAAACTCAGGTAAACCCCAAAGACAGTGCTGGGAGATTTATTTCAGCAAAGTCAAAGTCACTGCTAGACATTATGGCTCAGACTCAACTTTTTTGTGAGAAACACAAGAAATGAATCACATAACGGGGACCGAAATGCTGAAATCTTGAGAACCACTAGGCAGATTAAGCCATCTAAGGCTGAAGTATCTTGGGAGAGCAGCAAACCAACAAGAACAGCTTTAGGACCCGGAAGTTAAAAGCCTTACAAGAAAAACTACCTAGACTTCTACAGGCCAAGATTCCTCTGTCTTGTCTGTGTAACAGCCTTTTAGTGAGAAAAGAAGTGGCTCTGAAAAGAGCCTTTGGGACCGAGAGCCAGAAATGCGTAGCAGTTTATGCACGTTCGCCACGGATGCGGCGCGCAAGCTGGATATCTTTAGGCATGATAGTCACCCGCTTGGCGTGGATGGCACACAGGTTGGTGTCTTCAAAGAGACCCACCAGGTAGGCTTCGCTAGCTTCCTGCAGCGCCATCACAGCGGAACTCTGGAAACGCAGGTCGGTCTTGAAGTCCTGCGCGATCTCGCGCACCAGCCGCTGGAAGGGCAGTTTGCGGATCAGCAGCTCGGTAGACTTCTGGTAGCGCCGGATCTCGCGCAGCGCTACGGTGCCGGGCCGGTAGCGGTGGGGCTTCTTCACGCCGCCTGTGGCCGGAGCGCTCTTTCGAGCGGCCTTCGTAGCCAGCTGCTTGCGAGGGGCCTTGCCGCCGGTGGACTTGCGTGCTGTCTGCTTTGTGCGAGCCATAGTTAAGGAAGTTGTCCTCTAGAAACGAGTAAATGGTGACAGCACGGCTACCGCCATTTATAGCAACGATCCGATCCTGATTGGCCAGAACTGCAGCGGGGCTATGCTGATTGGTTCTTAATCTATCCTTAATTTGTTTTTCGCCTTTGGAACGGTCGTTTCCTCTGCTGTTGTTATGGTTTTCTAGTTTCTAGTATATATTGCTTGCCCCCAAAGAGCTTAACTATTCCTGAAAACATAAACGTATAAATTGTGAATGCTGATGGTGCATTAAAAATTTTTTTATAATTCCCCCGTCAGGTTGAGTAAAATGCTTCGTGGTCTGTATCCCTTCCTTTGTTCTCCATTTTCCCCTCCCGTCCCTATTTAAGTGGAATAATGGTTTGCAAAGATTGTTCTGCTTCATAACTACCTTTAATAACAAATTTATTTTTTAAAATTGTGCTAGTACACAAACTCCTTGAAGTTTTCTCAGTATGTAGTGTGGTGAATTGTTTGCCTGAATTATGCTAACAATTGGCCTCATAGTAACTGATTTTCAGGCAGCCAAATAGCAGCTTGGACCGGTTTTCTAAAACCGCTTGTGTGTCATGATAGGATTACGTTGCAAATGGATTTTTCTCCAACTTAGCATGTCATTCTGAAGTATTAAGTTAGGATCAAAGTTGTGATTGACCAAGTATCTCATCTTTCTGACAGTGTTATAAGGGGTAAAGGTTTCAGTATACCGGCAGGAACCCAGCAATGCTTAGTAGTGAGATGATGCTGAGGGCCTAAAGCTAAACCACTTAATTCAAGCGGTCTTCACAATCTGGACTAAGAGATGTGCTTGAGGTCTATAGTGCGGTTCAGTTCTTTTACAGAAGAAGTGAGTGGCTCTGAAAAGAGCCTTTGGTTTTCGTCTTGAAGCTTAAAGCGATCAAAGCTCACTTGCCCTTAGCCTTGTGGTGGCTCTCGGTCTTCTTGGGCAGCAGCACGGCCTGGATGTTGGGCAGGACGCCGCCCTGGGCAATGGTGACTTTGCCCAGCAGCTTGTTGAGCTCCTCGTCGTTGCGGATGGCCAGCTGCAGGTGGCGCGGGATGATGCGGGTCTTCTTGTTGTCGCGGGCCGCGTTGCCAGCCAGCTCGAGGATCTCGGCCGTCAGGTACTCCAGCACGGCCGCCAGGTACACCGGGGCTCCGGCGCCGACGCGCTCCGAGTAGTTGCCTTTGCGGAGCAGCCGGTGGACACGTCCGACGGGGAACTGGAGACCAGCTCGGGAAGAGCGGGTCTTGGCCTTGGCGCGAGCCTTGCCACCCTGCTTGCCGCGTCCAGACATGATAACTTGCTATTTAGTCAGTGAACACTAAATGACTAAGATAGTCTGAGCGAAGTGTACATTTTATAGCCGAATTTAGGCGCGAAAAAGAAGCTGAACCATTGGCTAGGAAATTGTATTGCAGCTTTTACTCAATGCAAATGAAGTTCCTTGGTACACGTGCTCTAATTGGACAAAAGTAACAATGATGCCATCTAATATTCTCCAATAGAAATTAGACATTACTCCATATCATTTGCATATGGAGCTCTAAATAGTGTGGACCGACGGCAGGCCAGTCATTTTTCCTACTCTGGTAGTTCCTCTTCGACATGCCTGAGCCAGCGAAGTCCGCTCCCGCGCCCAAGAAGGGGTCGAAGAAGGCGGTGACCAAGGCGCAGAAGAAGGACGGCAAGAAGCGCAAGCGCAGCCGCAAGGAGAGCTACTCGGTGTACGTGTACAAGGTGCTGAAGCAGGTGCACCCGGACACCGGCATCTCGTCCAAGGCCATGGGCATCATGAACTCGTTCGTGAACGACATCTTCGAGCGCATCGCGGGCGAGGCGTCGCGCCTGGCGCACTACAACAAGCGCTCGACCATCACGTCTCGGGAGATCCAGACGGCCGTGCGCCTGCTGCTGCCCGGGGAGCTGGCCAAGCACGCCGTGTCCGAGGGCACCAAGGCCGTCACCAAGTACACCAGCTCCAAGTGAGCTCTCCACAAGTTGCGCAGAACCAAACGGCTCTTTTCAGAGCCACCCACCTCCTTCTGAAAGACTTGTAATTTACTTGTGGTCTAGTTTTACGCTGGTTAGGGAGGTAGAAACTGAATGAGTAAAAGTTCCAAAGGGACAGTTGGGTACATCCAGAAAATTTCAAGTGAGTTTAGGGTGGATCCTTTTACACCTGGTAAAAGCTTTCTCTTTCGCTTTGGTATCGTGGCCAGAACTCGGTTTGGGTTATAGAGTAAATGAATCGGATACAGGAAATGCCACCTCCCCTCTCCTCCGATTCTAATTAGGCATCAGAATTTGAAAAGCCCACCAAGAGCTCCCAGTTTGCCAGATAATCGCTCCTTCGGATTTGAGGTGTTTTTTTTTTTTGTTGTTGTTTTGTTTTTTTTTTTTTAAAGTAGAACCACGAATTTTCCGATATTCTGGCTAAGTAGTACCCTGGGCTTTGGCGCCAAGAGCCCACCCATGTTGTAATTTTATTTTTTTTTAATTTTGTAATTTAAATCCTGGCGGGAGGACAGCCAATAGTTTCAACCCAGCAACCCTGAGGAGATAGCAGGGCGAATTAAAGTGTGTAGAAATAAAGGTGAGGGAAGGTCTTTAGTAAAATGCTGAGCAAATAACAAAGGAAACTCCCTCCCGCCTTTTTTTTATAAACAGGATAAAGTAGTCCAGATAAACTGACCAGGGGCAGGGTTGGGAGGTGAGGTGAGGAGGATTAACATTCGGGCCGGGATTTGAGACTTTGCAATGAAGAATCCTGCAGCCCAAATCAGAGAGCCCCGAGTTTTGAGAAAATAGGACGCCAGCAAAGACCAACCACCGTTGTGAACCAAAAGTGTTGGCAACCTAGGGACATTCGGAAGACTTTGGATGCAAGGCTTTCGCGTCCTCCGTCCCCCTATCTTAACGCCTTTCTGGAGTAATCAGCATTAACACGCTCTGTCATAGGGTTGTTCCCTCTCTCCAGTAAATCTATTTCTGCATGAACAAAGGGCTTCTTTTAGAATCACCCCGTAATGGTTCGGTTTCTGTCTCGGCCGTAACTTCCGTGCGGAGTGGGAGGATCCCACATCTCTAAGGACGTTTTCTGCCAATCAGTCAGCCATCAGCATCTAAATCATCCTAACAGTTCGGTGGGTTGTGCAAAATATACAGAGTGATCGTTTACTTCACACAAAAAATGAGTTTTCCTTCCCAACTTCTTTGCCTGTCGTTAAGGCTTAGTGCACTGGGATTGGCGCGAGGTCAGTTAAAGAAATCTGACATTGTATTCCTGAATTTGGTTTCACTCTCTGTCTTTCATTTTTCCGACCTCCCCAGAAGGTATCAGCTGATGGTCATCCTGATGGGTCAGATAAAAACTGTTACCCTTTTCTGCCATCTTGTGGTGAACAAGCAGAAGCACAAATCCAAGATGTTTTCAAACCTGAAAGGCTTCCTTAACTGGGTCGATTAGGGTTACCAATTATTTCCTTGTAACCCAGAATTTAAATAAATTAGTTTTCTAATGGTCATTAGTGAGTGGGCAAGGCAAAAGGATAAGAGAGAAACTGGGTAGAAGTGGATAGTATTTTTTTTTTCAAAGTCTACTCAGAGGTATTTCAACCAAAAACAAATATAAAAAAATTAAAAGCTGTAGCCTAAAAGAAACAACAAGGAGATTACATTTAGTTCTCAAAATAATAGCCAACATTTCTGGTAAACCTGAATGCCTGACCAAAAAAAAACAACAACCACAAAACCAAAGATATCACTGATTTTTTTATGCTGCTACTTGAAGATTTGTTGTGACTTAGAGATAGGATGGCAGTATGGCTAAATTGCAGTTTTTCTGGCATGAACAGACTAATGTGTAATTGCCAACATCAGTCATTTTGCAGATTTTCTTTTGTTTTTCTTTAAGTACTTGGTTGTTTTTTGTTTTCCTTCCTCTTGTGAAGTTTCACTTTCATCTTGTTTTGCAGGTGGAGTTTTTCTTTGCAGAAAGTTTCTTATTCCTCTTATGACAGTTTCTACAGCCTAACAATGTCCAACACATTATTAAAATACCTAGGTTAGACTTTCAAGGCTGACATAAAACATCATATCAACAATAGATATTTCCCCACAGTTCTGGAGGCTTGACATTCATGATGGATGGAGCTGTGGACAGATTTGGTTTCTCCTGAGGCCTTGCTCCTTGCCTGACAGCTGCCTTCTTGGATCTTTCCAGCTGCCTTGTTGTGTGTGTGCATAGTTATCCCTGTGTCTTCTTACGAGTTCATCAGTCCAACTACACTTAGAGTCCCAACCTTCTGGCCTCATTTAATCTAATTACTTTGTTTTGTTTTATGTGCTGCAGGTGTGGTTAAACTCTAGAAAGGAAGTCAAGGCCTCCCCCATGTAGTTAAACCCTCTCTCACTGAGCTACAATTCAGGCCCTTTAATTCACTCTTTACAGATCCTTAGGATCCCAGAACTGGGAAAGTGAGAACAGGATTGAAAGTTTGAGGCCAGCCTGGGGAGGACAAGAGAAATGAGAGAGGATGAGAGGAGGGAAGGGAGGAATAGAGAGAGGGAGAAGAGCAGAAAGAGAGTGAGAGGAGAGTTAGAGGGGAAGGGAAAGGAGGAAAGGAGAAGATGGGGGGACCCTCTCTCTGAATACAATGCCATAGATGATATAGAATCGAACTTAAGGCCAGTTTTCATGCTTTGATCTCAAATCTTTTTTTTTTTTTACCCCTTTAGTTAAAACTGTAGCTAAAGCAACACTTGTGAGGTTCCTTTAAACCAGTGTTTAAGAGCTGATAGGAACACAGGTGACCAGTTTCTAGAACATAGGCCCCTTTTCTACAAAGCCCATAGTCACTTGGTAAACCTAAGAACCAAAAAACATTTCACTGTTCCCTTTCTTCAGCCTTTAAGAGTAACCACAAGCACATTGGTAAGTGCCACCTAATATGTGGAAACTGACAGGGCCTGTAGGAATTTAGAAGAAATTCAGAACACAAAACCTGTTAAAAGACAGTTTACCTGATTGCTCTTTTGTAGCTGTGAGGGTATGGAGGCAGTGAATCTCCCAAGTTCTCAGAAAAGTCTATATTTCAAAATGAAATGTATTGGCAGGTAATAAAACATTATATATATATCATAGAATAAAAAAACAAAATGTCCACTAGCTACCTTCACCAAACTCTTCATCTGGAAGTTGAGGATTGCTTCACATGAACAAACATAGCAGGATACTGGTGACTCAGGCCTGTAATCCTAGCTACTCTGGAACCTGAGATCTGAGGATCACAGTTTGAAGCCAGCCTGGGCAGAAAAGACTCCATGAGACTCTTATCTCCAATTAACCACTCAAAACCTGAAAGTGGAGACATGGCTCAAAGTGATGGAGCACTAACCTTGAACAAAATGGCTCAAGGATAGCACCTAGGCCCTGAGTTCAAGCCCCTTAACTGCCAAAACTCAAACAAACACTTCTGCCTGTGGCAAGCTGTTCAGTCTTCTGTCTGTGCCACCAAAGCCTAGATAACATTCTCAAATCTTCCTGGGTGTTTCAACCCTCAAGTGAAAGAATTCCTTCTTCAGTAGGCCACTCTGGACAGATCACAGAGTCTTTACCTAACAGGCATTCAAGAGCTATCAGGTAAATGCATATGATGTGGGCTACATAGATGATAGGGTTACTAGGAATCATAAGTATTAAAAGGGTCAGACTTGGCCTGGAGCTGGTGGCTCATGCCTGTAATCCTAGCTACTCAGGAGGCTGAGATTTGAGGATCACAGTTATCTCCAATTAGCCACCAAAAAGCTGGATATGGAGGTGTGGTTCAAGTGGTAGAGCACCACCCTTGAGTGACAAAACTAAGGGACAGTGTCCAGGCCCTGAATTCAAGCCCCAGTACTAGTGAAAGGAAGGAAGGAAAGGAAGGAAGGAAGGAAGGAAGGAAGGAAGGAAGGAAGGAAGGAAGGAAGGAAGGAAGGAAGGAAGGAAGGAAGGAAGGAAGGAAGGAAGGAAGGAAAGAAGGCTGGCTCAGAATTCAGATTCAGTAAAAATCGAAAAACAATGTAGCAAGCTCCCTTCTGATCACCTCTTTTTAAATGTAAACCTACAAGGATAAGGAAACACAAAACAGCTGCCTGTCTTCTCTTCTTGGAGATATTAAGAAGCTAAAAACGCTTTCACTTTTGTTACTTATATATTTAGTGTTGATACTAGGGTTTGAGCTCAACCATTTACTCTTGCTAGGCAGGGGCTTTACTACCTGACTGATGCCACCAGCTCTGCCAAATCTTTAAATGGACAAAGACAGAAAATTAGAGGGCCTGTTTGTCAAGTGGAAGAAGTCCTGAAAGTTAACCTGCTGTACCCATGCTCTAGGTTGGCCTAGATCACATCTCCAGGTTTTAGAACAAGGAACACCAACACTCTTGGCCGTATTTTGGGTAATCCCACCAGAAACCATTGTTTCTAAAATGACTAGGGGTTGCTAGACCAAGTGTATTCCCCTAACTCAGAAAGCATAAAGACCCCAGGCAAGGACCACCAGTATTTCTTTTGTGGGAAACAGGACATTTTTTCCCATTTTTCTATTTTGCTTAGTTGATCCTATTATATTAAAAAAGAATCCTTGCTAAAACTTGTACTTTGCAAGATTTCTTATGAAGATCTGTTAAAAGGCTATACATTGCAGTTCTTGAATTTGTGTAATTTGTCATGGAAACTGGGATCCTGAGAGAAACTTCTGGTCTCTCCTGCTCATCGAGCAGCAAAGTAAGGTCAGATTGGAAGCATGGCTCAAGTGGTAGAGCACCCAGCAAGCCTGAGACTCTGTGTGTTTAATCCCCCACAAGTACCACAAGAAAAAAACCCTAGTAAACCAAGAGGAAAATTTAAATTCCTTATCATCCCCTCCCACAGTAACAAAATAAAAACAGCAAAAAGTATGTGAAATTGTTTCTTGTGGGTTGAATAATTATTTGGATAAATAAAACCTATTCTTCTGATGTTACATTTGTATTATTGCTGTATTTTTA